ATAAAAGTTAGAATCTTCAATCTCTCCTCTTTCTTCCTCCTTCTGATCTCCCCTTCATTCCTCTTTCTCCTAGATGTTTGGCTACCCCAAAATGCCAAATGATTTTTCTTCTTCTTGCTGGGAAGAATATGATGTCACTTGAGCATGGTAAAAATAAAAACAACGCCATCTTTTTCAATCTATCTAAAATTGTTAGGAGCAAATTAGATCAAGTTCAAATAAAAATATAGTGGCAATATAAAAGTTAAAAACTGTAAATTTAATAAGATTAGGGATTAAATGCATATTTTAACCTAGTTAACTATGATTAACACATAAAAGTTCTAATAATTGACTGCCATTGTTTTCCGTTTATGAACAATCAACACGTCTCATCAATCAAGGACGTTGAGCTTTAATTTTAATGGGATTTCTCTTTTAGAATGCTTTTCATACAACTAGGTCCGTCTCCTACTCCTTTCTCACTGAAAGGAGCAAAGGACTTTGCTTTTCAACGTTCCACGGTTGACTACCGTTGTTTTCGGTTTATGAACAATCAACACAAGCCGTCAATCAAGGACGTTGAGCTTTAATTTTAATGGGATTTCTCTTTTAAAATGCTTTTCATACAACCAGGTCCGTCTCCTACTCCTTTCTCACCGAAAGGAGCAAAGGACTTTGCTTTTCAATTTTCCACGGTTGACGAGGACCTTGTTTTGGGATTGATTTTGAAACTTGGTCTGCACTGCACCAATAATATGTTAGTGGCTCCACTAGAATTGCTTTGTAAAGTAACTTCATTAGAATCAATCCTTTGTATGGCAATTATAGAAAGGAAGTTTGCAGGATGTTTCCAGTTTTTGTCTACATTATTAAATTATTAAATCTCATCAATTAAGGAGAGAATCTCACTTTAATTTCAGTACTAAAATTATTAAACTATTATTAATAAGATAACATAAAAAAATGGTTTCTTTATTGGACTCAATTGGTTGTATAGCAATTAGAAAGGACGTTTGCAGGTAGTCTCCATACGGTTTTCCTTTTTACCGAAAGGAAAAAATATATATATCATTGATTAAAGAGAATTTAGCTTTAAGTTTAATGAAATTTCTTCTCTGGAATGCTTTTCTCACATGGAGGTCCCTTTCCTACACCTTTCCTTTCTCACCAAATTCGAAAGGAGTAAAAAACATCACATCCTATCAATGAGGTTTACATACCACCGCTATTGGTTGCTAATGAAAATGCGTAAAAGTTAGGGGTAAATAGATTCTAACTATATAAGTTTTGTATGAGTAAAATTTATAATTGTAAAAGTTATATGTAATAGGATTTTAATTATATAATTTTATATAAATTTAATTATGATTTATTTACATATAATTTTATATTCATCACTTATATAAAATTTTGATAATTTATTTTTTATTTTAAATAGTTAATATTTATTTACTTGTTATCGCACTTGGCCTTCGGGCCAAGCGGTCTTAAGGCTGTCTTGCAGTATATTTCCTCCCTCCCCTATGGTGGGTTCGATACCTACCCTTGTAAACTTGGTCAAAAAAAAAAATCTACTTGTTATCTTATTTTTTAAATATAATTATTTTTTAATTAAAAAATCATATTAAATCTCAATTAT